AGGTGGAAGAGTTTCCCATTTCATGCAAACTGACAATTCGATTTCCTCAATTTTCTCTATATTGGAGAGCAGATTGACATTGTTCATCCATATTGCGGACCTTACACCCATGTATCTTTGAATTCGCAGATTCCTAAGACATTTTGGTGGCTGAAGGTTGTCGAGCACGTTCTCATCTAAATTGGTGTTCCTTGAATCAGTGTGACTATAACTCCAACATAAGGTCAAATCTATGAGCCTCCTCTTTTCACATAATTTGGCACTAGAAGACTCCTCGGCATCCTTAACATTTTCAAGGCAATTGATTCCTAATTTGTAAAGATCATTCATATCCTCCAGCTCCCCAATTCTATAACCACTCATATCTCTAAGATCAAACATATTCAGTTCTTGAAGAGACTTTAGCTTCCCAATCCCACATAACAATGAAATACAAGGCAATTTCAGGTAACGCAAGTTAGAAAGGTTATTAATGTCACTTGGTAAAAAACTATCAACAGCACGTCGGCTTGACACCCATCGATCATAGATTATGTACTGCAAGTGATAGAGATTACTCAGAGATCTTGGTAGCCTGGTGACATCATTTGATTTAACTCTTTTGATATTCAAATATCGAAGATGTTTCAAATATCTAATATCCTCAGGTATCATTTCTAATTCATTAGTACGTATGTATAATAAGCGCAGGCATCTCGATGCTTTGAATATTTCAATAAGTGCACTGCAAATATCCTGATTAAAATTTTCATAGAACAAGAAAAGAGAGTGCAAATGTTTAAACTTCTCAATCTTTCTTAAGATGTCTGGACAAGATTGAACAGACAAGTGTCGAATAGTCTCAGAAATTTTGAGAGATGACTCTTCATCGTCCACAAGCTTACCGCATTCCTGTGCAAAATATTTAGATGCTGACTTGCGTATTAAATCATGCATCTTGTAGTCATCTCCGACCTTGTCAAATAAATTTTTTTTTACTAAAACATCAAAATACCTTCCTCCAATATCCTCCATAGTCATTCCTTGAGATGGATGAATGAAATCCAATGCAATCCACATTCGGACTAAATCATCTTTATCAAAGGTATGATCTTGTCGGAACATACAACAAATTGCAAAACAATTTTGTAGATGATTTGGCAGAACTATATAGCTCAATCTTAAGATGGAATTGATAGAATTCTGACCCAATAAATTGCTTTCTAAAACTTCCCTCCAAAACCTTTCATCCAAGTTGTCATTTAAAACACCACCAATGACCTTAGCTGCCAACGGAGATCTTGAAAGCTTTTTTACTATATCTCGAGCAATGACTCTTAAATTTTCATGATCATCAGGGGCATTCTCTACACCAGCAAATGCATGAGAGTTGAGGAGCTGCAAACACTCATCTTCCTCTAGGCCCTCTAATTTAACTATTTCCTTATTCTTTTTAATTACCTTTGAAAACATCAGTGCAACTGAGTCCGTTCGAGTTGTTATCAGAATCTTACTACCAAAACCCCCATAAGCTAGAGGCGCGAGCACATTCTCCCATTTACTTTTATCCTGTTCCTCCTCCTCTTCCCAAACGTCATCAAGGACCAGTAAGAACCTTTTGGACATCACCTCATTCTTGAGACGCCCTTGAAGTGCCTCAAGTTTCTCCAAACGAGGCCTCTCCTTCTTAAGAAGCTCCAACATATCTGCAATGACTTCTTTAGCATCAAAGTTGTTGGAAACACAAACCCACATTTTAAGATCAAATTCCTTCGTCATTTCATCTTCATAGATATGTTGCAACAGAGTTGTCTTTCCCATACCACCATGCCCCACTATAGATAGAAGAGAAATGTTTCTGTACAAATCAGTTCCTCGACGCCCCCGATGAGATCATTTTTAGGCAAAGATCCAGTTTCACGTGTTTTGTAGAAATCAACCTCCAGCTCCTTCTGTTCCTGCTTCGCCCTGTCTAAAAGATGAAGGAAAGTTGTAACATCAGCCGAAACTTTATCAAGTTTCTGCACAGCCTCCTCCAGTCGCTTCAAGTTGGGATCCCTTTTGAGAACACGTTCGCCAATTTTGAGAATTTTACGAGGACTTTCAAATAGGAAGCTCATGAACTTTCTTTTCTGATCATATTAGTTAGAAATAAATTATCAAATAAAAAAGTAAATATATATATTCGCGAGCTGAATCAAATAGGAAGCTCGTGGTAGCGGAACGCACCTTTGTTTCTTCCGTGTTTTTGGTGAGCTGTTCTTTATGCTTTGCGTACTCAAACTCATCGAGCACATCAACTGTCTCATCAATAGCATCTCGCAGCTGCCATATCCATTTGTTGAGATCCCCGTTTTTATCGTTGATTTGTGCTTGGTTAGCTGCAAAGACGACAGCTTGGATCTTGGGGTGGTTCTCTCGCAGCCTTTCAAGCTCCTCCTTCATGCCTGTCTGCCATCTGAATTGATCCTTAAGGTAATCAGAGCAAGTGTTGATGATATTTTCCATGATTGGACCAACAAAAAATCCCTCCATCGCAGCGACGATTGAGGTAGAGAGAGCAGAACAACTGAACGGTAGGAGAAACAGAGCTGGGAAGAGAAAAAGAATTTAAGCAGCAAATGGTCACGTCCAGCGTAAAGTCAAGTAAACGGAGATTGCGTCAGTTGACTGAAGTCTAAGTAAAACAGAGATTAATTAATGGAATACAATGGAGATTAGATTATTATTTTATGTGCATTTTCTGTGGTTTGTTATGTAAGGAATTTTATAATTAGTTGTTTGTTTCTGATATTTATTGTGATATTGTATTTTTTAAAAAAAATGATATCTAAATGGGCGACTTAGCTCTTTTCTTTAACCCCCCGCGGGGACCCTTTCTTGCCCTAAATCTGTGTTGCTTTCGGCGAAGGAGGAGTCGGCGAGCTCGGCATATCCGCGAGGTAATGGTGTTTTTAATTTTTTTTGGATGT